ATGTCTTGGTCCAAAACGTAGGCAAGAACTAGAGCTCAGACAGACAGTGTCAGCTGTGGACAGAAGGCTGCACTAATTGCTAAGTGGAAAAGGACTCCCTGCATCCAGGTGGTACAGTGGATAAGTGCTTGGTTGCTAAGCGAAAGGTTGGTGGTTCTAAACTACCAGCTGTTTCACAGGATCAAGACGTAGTAGTCTTCCTTAGGATTACAGCCTTGGAAGCTCTTTGGGTCAGCTCTACTCTGTCCTACACTGTCACTGTAAGTCAGGATCAAGTTGATGGCAATGGCTTTGGTATCCTGGCTCCTTCTGCTACTTTCCTCCCCTGGATGCATATCCTTGTCAAGCTCATTGCCATCTAAAAGTGGCACACTAGGATGTATCACTGTTTAGCCTCTAGAACAGCGGTTCTCAACCTGTGGGTTGCGACCCTTTGGGGGTCCAACCACCCTTTCCTAGGGGTCGCCTGATTCATAACAGTAGCAAAATTACAGTTAGGAAGTAGCAACGAAAATAATTTTATGGTTGGGGGTGCCAAAACATGAGGAACTGTATTAAAAGGTGGTGGTATTAGGAAGGTTGAGAACCACTGCTCTAGAGGATGGGGTTTTCACAGGAGTTTAGGTGACTACTTTGAGTTACTGAAGACTCCTAAACCAAATCTTTTGAGACCAAAACTCTTGGCAAATGGTGTCTTGAGCGCTGGGGATCCAAAAAGCTTGGCAGCTTCTCTGGCCTGCCCCAACCTTGAATTGTCTCATGGAACCTCTCCCAGCTCTTCTGTAGTTGCTCTGAAAAAATCCCCCAAACTCCTTCTTTAAGGAAAAGGAAAATCTCCCGTAAACTGATATATCAGAAGGGTGCACATTTGAAGTGACTGGTATTCCTAGCTGGTCAAGCACCCTAATAATGTTCTCTAATATAACATGACAATGGTATCTCTCAGGTGAACCAGAGACATATATAAACCATAGACAGGAATGGATTGGGGGTTTACACTTAATTCTAGCTCCAATCTAAGAATAATGATAGGATGATCACTCCAGTCATGATGATCACCTAATTTAAGAATAATTCGTTCTTATATGATCACCCTCATGGAGAGATCACTGAAGATATGGGTGCTATAGAAAAGTATGGTGAAGAAAGTAGATGGTGCCCAACTATCAGAGAGAACAGCATCTGGAGTCTTAAAGGCTTGTTTTCAAATAAGTAGCCACTTAAGTGAGGCATCAACTATATTCACATAGAAGATGCACACCAGCCTGTGTGACCCAAGGATTGTTAAGTAAAACCCAACTCTAAAGGAGGGCATGTTTTCAGACCGTAAGTTGTGAACACCTGTTTTACTGAAGGCTATGGATGACAGTGGGATGTCATAATTAAGGGATGTGAATAAGTCTTGTTATCAGAGATAGCATTGTAAAGTTATTTATGACAGGCATAGTTAGGTTAAAATGTAAAATCCCATTATTTGATCTCCCTTTGGACCCATTTAAAAGTTGTTTTAGTTTGAAAAAAAGTGAGGGGTAAATGCAGTTGGATGCAACCTCTGGTGAACCCCTTCTGACCACAGAGCAGGGATGTAAGGAGTCTTGCTATAATGTATAGTGCTGTGGAAAGTGGAAGATTGCAGATTCAGTTAGGTTTAAATTTAATACCTTATCATTTGCTCTCCCTTTTAATACATTTAAAATTTGTTCTTTTTAATATTTTCTGCTTTTTTAAAATTGAGGTTTTCCTGTTATTGTTAGTTTTTGTTTTTTGTAATGTTTTTATGTATATGAAATCCAGGATCGGTAAATCTATTGAGATAGTAATTGGATTACTGGTTCCTTGAGGGTATGGCGAGGGAGGCTGAGGGGAAACGGTGGGCTAAAAACAATGAGTATACGAATGAAGAATATATTCCAAAACTGATTGTGGTGATTATATAACTCTTCTTAATATGATTGAACTACTGAATTGTAAAATTTGTGAATTACAGTGAACCCTCGCCACTTCGTGCTTCGACTTCCGCGGCTTCACTCTATCGAGGTTTTTGCGTAACAGCGCATGCTCTGTCATTACTGCCACTGATTGGCTCATACTGTACACGCTTCTGTCTGCATCGCTACGTATCGGAGCTACGTATCAGATGCATTTTTGCTTTTGTACAGTATACTGTAATTGTTTGCGATTTTTAAGAAATTTTATCTAAGTCCTATGATAGCTCCTAAACGAGCTGCTACTTCTAAGCCTTCTGACAATAAAAATAAGCGCCAGAGGAAGGTGCTCACCATCCAGGAAAAGGTAAAACTTTTGGATATGATCAAAGATGGCAAGAAAATCGTGGAGGTTGCACGCCATTTCGACTTGAATGACTCTTCCGTTCGCTCCATCCGTAAAGAGGAAAAAAACATCCGTGCTACGGCTACTTTCACTTTCAACAAGGAAGCAAAGCGCATCGTGACAAGTCGTAATAAGTTCATAGTAAAAACGGAGTCTGTCCTAGCCGTTTGGATCATTGTAACGTCCAAAATGTTTTACTGTATTTTCCCTTTTTCGTTTAATAAATTGGGTAATACGAGTGTAATGGTGACTAAAGGGTGTTTTTTCATGTCCTCTATGCTCCAACTACGAAAATATTTGATTTACAAATAAGGAATCCTACTTCGCGGAATTTCATTTATCACGGTAGGGTCTAGAACCGATTAACCGCGATAAACGAGGGTTCACTGTATATGCCAATAAAACTGGTTTTTCAAAAAAGTTTGGCTCTTTCATTCTGGGACATAGTCAGGTATTTTCCCACTCCCTTCTGTAAATGTCCTTTCCCTGCTCCAAGGCTTAGAGAAATATAACTTACCCTACAAAGCTCAGTTCAAACTTCATCCTCTTTGAAATGCTCCAGAATGCTTGCCCCAGTGTGGCAAGCAGCCTCCTTTTCAGGACTCCTACAACTCTAGGCTCATGTTGCTAATAGAGTAGAAAACATATGATCTGCTCTTTCCCTCCCCCTCCTTTCCCCTGTGAGCTCACAGATGGCCAGGACAGGGCTATGTCCTTACCTCTCCTTTAGGTCCTAGGAGGCTAAGGGATTTAATAGATATTTGGTGAATAAAATCATGAATTTTATGTGTCCCTTCTCTTCCATCTTTCTCATTATCCCTCACCTCATTTTCTTAATATTTTAAAGTTTCATTAGCATGTCAACCACAATTCATACAATTAAATGATTAAATCCGATCAAGAAGAGTTGTACAATTGTCACCATATTCAATTCTAGAAGTTTCTTCTTCCTGGAACCACTGTTATTCATGTAAGTATTTTTTTTTCTAATTGTGGCAAAAATGTACACACAAGAAAACATTCTCCAACCCCACAACTTCTTCTTGAATAATATTCAGTGCCATTGATACTCTTCCTGTTGTACAACCATTATTAGATCCTTTCCCAAGTGATTCCACCACCGCTGACATAAACTCAATGCCTCCTAGGCAACAACTCTTTCCCTTTCACCCGTGGTGACCATGGGTCAAGTTTGGTTTCTTTTTTTTTTAGTGGTTTTCTTGATATATTCACGTTATCATACACTTCTATGGTTAAATTACTTTCAAAACGAGTTTTACACACATAATCACAATCAGTTCTAGTGCTTCCTCCCCCTTCCTGCATTGTTTGCTCCCCAAATCTCACCTTCCCCATCTGCCCCCCCAACCGCACTCACAATAAACCATTGTATCAGTTATTGTCTCTATGCATCTACTCCTTCTGTGCTTCAAAATCTGGGAAACCCAAAAGAAAGAAACAAACAGAAAACAAAACCAAAATAAAATAATAATATAAAGATAAAAATTCAAATAAAGAGCAAGAAAGAAAAGGCTACTATTAATATTTAAAAAGTCATGGAAGAAATTAAAAAAAAATCATTTTATGAGGGGCTCCTACAACCAGGAAAGAAATTTTTGTCATGGAACAAGCAAGAAATACTTGAGCCTAGAACAAATTCAGGCTGGGTCAAGAGGGAGGTCAACCTGCCAAGTATCAGATTACACTTTGTGCGATCCACCATAATCAAGTTTACAGTCATCACTGTTTGATAGTAAAGTGTTCGAGTCCCCCGCGTGTGGCTCGAAGGGATCCACCAGAGGCTGCAGATGGATTTTGGGCTCCCACTGTCCTCCATAGCCTTCTACAAATTGCCTCATTCCCATTTTTCCATCTTGCCATTTCTAAGTTGCGAACAGTTAATGTACTAGCCTGCTAACTGACTGGCTAGAGATTTGAGTTCACCCGGAGGCACTTGGGAACAAAGGCTGATGATCTACTTCCAAACATCAGTGATTGAACCCAATGGAGGGGAGTTATACTCGGATACACGGGGTCAATGACAACACGTTTTCAATATATCCCAATTGTATCCCATGCCTAAGTATATCGAATGACTATATTTGATGGAGAAGTATCCTCTATACCAGTGGTTCTCAACCTTCCTAATGCCGTGACCCTTTTGCTTTAATAGTTCATGTTGTGGTGACCCTCCAACTATAAAGTAATTTTCGTTGCTACTTCATAACTAATTTTGCTACTGTTATGAATCGGGCGACCCGTGAAAGGGTCGTTCAACAACCCCCCCAAAGGGGTCACGACCCACAGGTTGAGAACAGCTGCTCTATGCCCATCAAAATGTCCCTCTTAGATCTGACATACTACCTTGGCCTTCTCATCCCTAAATTTCTCCCTGAGTTGGATGCCAGAATGACTGTAGAGTACAAATTCCTATGAGACTTCCTCCTCACTGAAAGTGGGGGACAAAGTTGGCACTCTGTCCCCGGGGCTGGGGCTAGAGACATATTGGTTCTTTAGTGAGATCTTACACTCAGGGTTTATCTCCGAGGCTGCACAGAGCAAAGTGTGGAAGCAGCAGGGTTATTCTTGGCACTTCAGCAAAAAGGAAAAGTTCAGAACTGGGTATGTTGTCAGTTGCAGTTTAAAATGAAGACAACAGGACCACAAGGTAAGTTTTCAAATATTTTATTGAAAAACAAAATAGATACATAACCCTTCAAAAGAGCACAAGTGGACTGTTCCCTATCTCCCCTTCTGCTGACAAACCCCACTCTCCCAGGGCTCCACCTACCCGGCTCTGAGGCCCAAACTGACCTTGCAGTTATGGCAACTGTTCCCGTCACCCAGCTGGTGACTCAAGCTCCATCATCTCCCTTCAGCTTCTAATCTGCCTCCTTTAAGAAAATAAAGATATCCCCCTCCCCGACTTGCTTAAAAATAATTTTCAATTATTAGAAACTGTATTTCTGCGTGTTTTAAAGAAACACTTTAATTTTTAGAAATCTCTCTGTTCTCATATGCCTAATAGAAGCCTCTGGGATGCCTGCTTGCCTCACCCAAGGAGGTCAGCTGCCAACTGGTGCTCCTTGGAAATCTTCAGGAAGTAATTTCTTCCAAATTTCCCCTGCAGTTACAAATTCCACAAACTGCTCACATAAACATGCTGTCTTGATTACCGGCACTGCTTCTCAGCTCTGGAAACCTGATCTTTTTGTGAACTAGGTCACATGTTTTAAATTCCCTGTAAACAGAAGAGAAAACAAAATTCAAATTCAGGTAACATATATAAATTATACCTCAATAAAGCTGTGGAAAAACAAAACAAGTCCAGCCAAGCCTGCTGGGTGAGAAACTTATGGCTCATCCCATACAATACTGGCATGGTGGGTTATGTGGTGGGCTGTTAACTGCAAGGTCAACAGTCAAAAAATCTCCAGTGGCTCCACAGGAGAATAATGATTTTTTTTTAAATTCCTGTGAAAACTTACAGTCCTAGAAACCCACAAGGCAGTTCAACTCTATTCTCCAGGGTCGCAGTGAGTTGGAATCCACTCAATGACAGTGAGTTTGGTTTTTGTTTTGAATTGACTACCAGCTGACTGCTGCAACTGTTGTTGAATGGTGTTCAACAACATTTTGCTTGCGTGCGATATCAATGATGTTTTTCTATAATTTGCACATTCTGTTGGATCACCTTTCTTTGGGAGGGATACAAATATGGATCTTTTCTAGTCAGTTGGCCAGGTAAGTGTCTTCTAAATTTCTTGGCAGTACCTTGAGAGGGAGCTGCCAAAAATCCAGGTTTGATTCAGAAGAGGACATGGAAGAAGGGATATCATTCTACCCTGATGTTAGATGCATATTGACTGAAAGCAAAGAAAACCAGAAAGATGTTTACTTGTACTTTATTCACTATGCAAAGACTGTGCGGACCAGAACAAACTATGCATAGGCTTGAGAAGAATGGGAATTCCAGAACAATTCATTGTACTCATGTGGAACCTGTATGTGGATCAAGAGGAGTTGGGCAAAGAGAACAAGGGAATACTGCATGATTTACAATCAAGACAGGTGTGCATCAGGGTTGTATCCTCTCACCATATTTATTTTCCGAATGCTGAGCAAATAACCAGAGAAGCTGGATTATGTGAAGAAGAACGGGGCTTCAAAATTGGAACCACCTGTGATATGGAGATGATGCAACCTTGCTTGTTGAAAGTGAGGAGAACTGAAGCGCTGACTTACTGATGACAATCACGGGATGCAGTATGGATGACCACTCAGTGTAAAACAAGACAAAACAAACAAAACATCCTCAAACTGGACCGGTAGGTAACAGCATGATAAATCAGCGGTTCTCAACCTGTGGGTCGTGACCCCTTTGGGGGGTCAAATGACCCTTTTCCCAGGGGGTCACCCAATTCAAAACAGTAGCAACATTACAGTTATGAAGTAGCAACGAAAATAATTTTATGGTTGGGGGGTCATCACAAGATGAGGAACTGTATTCAAGGGTCATGGCATTAGGAAGGTCGAGAACCACTGTGATAAATGGAGAAATGATTGAAGTTCTCAAGGATTTCATCTTGCTTAGATCCACAATCAGTACTCATTGGAAACAGCAGTCAAGAAATCAAATGAAGGATGCACGAAGGTAGGAGGGTGGGGGAGGGAGGGGGAAAAAGAGGAGCTGATACCAAGGGCTCAAGTAGAAAGAAATTGTTTTGGAAATGTTATTGGCAACATATGTATGAGTGTCCTTAATACAATTGAATAATGGATATTTATAAGATTTGTAAGAGGCCCCTTCCCCCCAATAAAATGATACAAAAGAAAAAGAAATCCAGTGACACCTGCTTTGGGTCAACCTGCTGTGTAAAACCCCAAAAGATGACTGAATAAACAAAACTGCCAGAATGCTATGTTATGGCATGCTTCAGGCCTTCATGTGGTATATTCCGTATATACTCGAGTACAAGCCAACCCGAATATCAGCCGAGGCACCAATTTTACCACAAAAACGGCATTAAAAATGTGCTGAAAAAAATTCGGCTTATACTCGAGTATATAAATGGTACATATGATGGAATATTAGTTATAAAAAGAATGAAGTCCTGATGCATACCCCAGCATAGATGAACCTTGGAAACATTCCACTGAGAGAAATAAATTCATCACAAAAGGACAACTACTGTATGATCTCACTTATATGAAAGAAGCAAATATATAGAAATCATAAATTAGTAATGGTTATCAACTGTGGGAAGGAGAGTAAAAGAAGGGATTTTTGCTTGGGGGGCAACGAATTTATGTTAATACTGGTAGAATAATTTGGATAAGTATAGAAAGGATAGTTGCCCAAATTGAAGAAAATATTCTGTCATTTAATTATACATGTGCACATTGTTGCATTGTTGTGTCTTCTAGTGTATTTTCAACACAATAGAAAGGAGTAAAAAAAGAAAGAAAATGAGGAACTGTTATTTTCCCGAGCAGAGTTGGTGTATCACTTTACATTCATATCAGCAGTGTAGGGGTAATAATTTCTCTGGATCCTTGCCAGCATCCACTTAAAAAAACCCAAAAACATTTGATTAGGTTTGTAGTGATTTCTCATTGTGGGTTTTTTCAAGAATAAAACTTATTTTTATAACCGTTAAAGCTTTCTGCAGTTGTTGAGAACATACACCATTCGGTAGTTTCTGCACGTACAATTTGGTGCCAATAATTCAAGTTAAGCAACCATTCTCATCTCTTTTTTTCAGAGTTTCTCTCACCCCCCCCCCATCTTAATATATTCACTGCTCCTTAAGTTTCTTATCAAATCTTTTGAGTTGCTGTTATCAATTGGATCCCATATAGATAAATCTTAAAAGAATATGATACTCAAGGCAGACAGTCTTTAGTAGTTAAGTTAAAGTATTATTTGGTTTTAAGAAGACTTCAGGGGGTGTTTTCAAGTTTATGTCTCAGGGCAGTAGTAACAAGGGCTCATCCAGCCTCCATGGCTCCAGCAAATCTATATTCCATCAGAATTTTAAATTCTTTTCTAGATTTCCCCCCTCTTGATCAGGATTCTTCTATAGAATCTGATCAAAGCGTTCAGTAATGTAGCTCGGTACCATCCAGTTCTTCTGGTCTCATAATAAAGAAGGGAGTTGTTTATGGAGGCAATTAGTCACACATTCCATTTCTCCTCCTTTTCCTGATTCTACTTCTTCCTCTGTTAGTCTAGAGGAGAATAGGGATCAGTTTTTGTGTCTTGAAGGGGTACTGATGGCACAGTACTTAAAGCATTCAGCTGCAAACTGAAAAGTTGGTGATTTGCACCCACCAGTCACTTTATGTGAGAAAGATGTGGAAGTCAGTTTTTGTAAAGGTTACAGCCTGGGAAACCCTTTGGGGCAATTCTACTCCACACTAAACACATTATTTGGCCAATTAACTGTGATGTCTCATGAAACCACAACCCCCAATCTTCCAAACTAACGAACTAAATTCCATGAGATGTTTGGTAGTATGTACAACAGAAGGAAACACTGCCTGGTCCTGCACCATCTTCACAATTGTTCTCATGTTTGAGCCCATTAAATCACCTCTATTAAACACTAATAAGCTCCCACTACCATGATTCGAATTCGATCTTGCAAGTCAGGCTAGACCAGAGGAGGTACACTGGTACAGATAGGAACTGAAAATACAGGGAATCCAGGACGGATGAGCCCTATAGGACCAGTGGTGTGAGTGGCAAAACAGGGAGGGTAAAGGGAGAATGGGTAGGAAAGAGGGAACCGATTACATGGAACTGTGTGTGACCTCCTCCCTGGGGGACAGACAACCGAAAAGTGGGTGAAGGGAGATGTTGGACAGGGCAAGATATGACAAAATACCAATTTATAAACTATCAAGGGCTCATGAGGGAGGGGGGAGCGGGGAGGGAGGGGAAAAATGTGGACCTAATGTTGGGGGTTTAAGTGGAGAGAAAATGTTTTGAGAAACGATGTACAAATGAGCTTTACACAATTGATGTGTATGGATTGCGATAACAGTTGTACGAGCCCCTAATAAAATGTTTAAAAAAAACAACACTAATAAGCATCTGTCTTTTTGCGTTTGCCCACTTGAGATATTTCATATACGTGGGATCATACCACATTTGTCATCTTGTGATTGACTTATTTTACTTAATGTGCTTTTAAGGTTCATCTGTGTTATGGCGTGCTTCAGGCCTTCATTTCTAAGGCTGAGTATGATCCCATAGTACCCATGTACCACATTTTTGTTTGTCTATTGATCTTTGCATAAGCCCCGGTGGCATAGTGAGTGGAATAAACACTGGGCTGCTAACTGCCAGGTCAACAGTTTGAAACCACCAGCAAGCAGCTCCATGGGAGACAGATAGGCTGTCTACTACCATAAAGAGTTACAGTCTCAGAAACCCCCAGGGGCAGTTCTACTCTGTCCTATAGGGTCGCTATGAGTTGGCAATGACTTGATGGCAGTAAGTTGAGTATTAGTCTGTACATGGACACTTCTGCTGTTTCCACCGTTTGGCTCTTGTGAATAATAGTGCAATGAACACTGGGATACAAATGTCGATTTGAGTACCCATTTCTAAGTCTTTAGGGTATATACTTGGTAAGTCTATGTTTCACTTTTTCAGGAACTGTCAAGTGGTTTTCTACAGCAGCAGCAGCAGCAGTTTACATTCTTACCAGAAATTCATCAACCATAACTGGCTTTTTTGCAAAGCAAAAGCTTTTTGTTTTCATGAGGTCTAATTTATCCACTATTACTTTTATGGATCATGATTCTGGTGTTTCAATGACCCAAGCTCACAATTTTCGGAGATTCTTTGATTCATTTCAAGTTTCCATGTCTCATTAGTTGCCCAGCCTAACCACAAGATGTATCACAAATCGGACACTTCCTTTCTGTCCCATTGTTTCCAGTTATCTCCACCTCTCACTCAGGTCACTCAGAAGAGCTCTAAACTGGTGCCCCTGCCTCTGGAGCTATCCCACACACTACAGTTATGTCTAGCACATCCTTTCTCTAACGCAGAAACACTTCTGCAGCTCTCAGTTATCCACAAATGAAGTCCAACTCTGTAGCTTAAATATGCTCCATCAGTACTTCCCTATCTCCACGTCTGTTCTTCTGTGCTGCGGTCTCTTCTGAGGAAAACCTACAGGGGATTCTGATGCTAAGGTCCTTCTAGCGGTATGACCAGAGCTTGCT